GACGGTTTTTTTAATTAGATATAAGGACCTCTGTATCTTACCTGTACCACTGTTCCATGCTCAATCACTTGGCCCATCGTGTAACATTCATGGCTTTGTGAAAAGTAGCCATTTTGGGGCGGGGCTGGGCACTGTCCATTCAGCTGCAACCACTTAGGTATTGCAAATACCGATGAAAAAACAGGTACTGTCCCAGAAAATATGACTCCAATTGCTTTCAATTACACTATAAAGCAAGTTTTAGTGTGGTCGCAAACATACATAAAACAATTAAGCTATTGTCAGTGATAGTAAAGATAAAGGCAATACGTTAGCGGTGCCACCATGCATATCTTTTTGTCAGTATGTGTGGTTCTGAAAAAAAAAGAACTGGAGAGTACTTAACGTTTCGGACAGTATGCTCAGTCCATAGTCAGACTGCAGGGATCATAACGGTGAAGCGGTAAAGTGGCATAAACGTTGTCTGGAGACGCAACACCCAAGATCCATCCTTGGCCTAAGGGCGAGACTGGCAGGACCTCAGCCAACACAAAGCCCATGGCAGGAAAGGAGAATTTGAGAAGTCATCCATCATCAAGCACTCCCACACCCAAAGACCACCAACTGAAGTTAAGCTGGATAGCATGGATACCGGGTACCCTTGCCGTATCAGATCACTGTCACATCGGTTTCAACATTAACGACATCATGCATCCGGTGCGATGGGTCTCCCCTAGGATATGCTTCCAACCTATGGGCCTCGTATACATTGGCAACCCCCCCCCCCATTTCAGACTGACACACCTCACTGTTCATCTAGCATGTCATGTTTTGTTTGGATACCCTTGGGTTAATTGGATCCTGGGTTAGCATCTGCCCAACACCTCACCGCTTCCAGGCAATATTAATACTGTAAGTCCTTGAAATCCTGTAGTCTACTGACGGCGGACACAGCATTCTATCCTCATGCCGAATTGAACAAAGTAAACGTTCATAAATTATACACTTCTGATCACAACTGCAGAAGTTAATTTCAAAGAACTTTGCTTCCACAAACAGATGATACTCATGGTAACCCAACAGCCAAGACAAACCAGGCCTTGCTTCGGAGTTTGTCCTTACCTCTTTGACAAGTTGCCGGCATGAGAAACATCGATAACAAAAGGCACGAAACCACCACGGACGCCATTGCTGAGCGATACTCCATTTCATGAGTGTATCATCCACCGGTTCCAGGTTTGAGCTTCTGGTTTTATATCCGGATACAGCCCCACGCTTCTTGTTAGCGGAAACGACGGTCACGCAGGTCAGGACATGCTGGCACTCCGCCAGACACTTGAATTCTCGAAAGGATAATGCTCTCACAACAACACCATACACAACTACATACGGACAAAATACAAATGCAAGGACTGCGGTGTCAGTATGCAAAAAAAAAAACAACTTCGGCGTTATGCTCGTTCTATTTTATTCTTGTTAGTTAAAAAGAATGGTCTGATATGGTGGCCCCGGAGGGACATCGTCAATATTAATACATGTATCAGTATTTGCGACCAAATTTACGACCCACTCTCTGGTCTCGAATATTGCTGCCAATATCAACAACCGAAATTCACGACTTGCTCTTTAGTCGCGAATACTGACGCCAATATTTGCGACCAAATTCACGACTCTTTGTTAGGAGAGAATTTGCTTGGTTACAGACACAGCAATTGGTTTTTTAAAGTTGTACCCCCTGCGTTGTGCCAGGTTTGCCCAGCCAAATAACGACTTGAGGGGTACAGACCGCTAACTCAAGCCCCATTACAAACACTGTAGAATCAGCACTGTTCAGTTCAGGGTCCATACCGACATCCCTGAGATTTCTGAAACACAAATTGAATTATTGTTTAGTCCCTAGCATTTCAATTTCTTTTCAATATTTGTGGGTTAAATACATTTTTAATTATTCCCACAAAACAACCCCCCCAAGTGATTTTTCTGAAGTGAGGTTGAAGCCATTCTCAAAGTAGCAACCCTCAACTTTCTTGGGCACTTCGAACCATTTTCAACCGTATTTTTGTAGCCATTCTGCTCTCATATGAAAGCTCAAAGACTCAGGCAGTCGATCCTGGCAACGATTTACTCAATCTCATCATTTTTGGGGCCAAACAATCTCTTTTTCAAAAGATACTGTGCGTGGAACTTTTAATGCTAACGAGCTGGCCAGAAATTTTCACTTGAATTAGTAAACTGCACCCTGTGTATACGAGACCATTGGACTATTCTTCATGTATTTTATATTTTCGAAATTGATGGGTCCGTTTTTGGCAGGACATTTCTCTTTTAGGTCAGGTACTCTTTCAGTGTTTATAAATATTATTCATATGCCAGCAAATAGATTTTTACAAGTTGAGATTTTAAGAAGGAACTGAACGAAACAACATTACTGATTCTAACTGGTTTACGCGATATCTCTTCTATCCAAGGATTCCGGGAGCGCCATATAGGGTTAACTTTCAGGCTCTATTTTTATTTTCATTAATTGTTTTCTATTTCGATCTGTGTTTGGGACCCTTTCTGGTTTTCATGCTAATGGAAATTTGTATATTAATGAGCAAAACTGTGATGGCATTCCAGGCCCTAAACCTCAGTGTTGCTCTTAGTTTTGTGGTACACAAAATCTGTTGAAATTGCGTACATTACTGTGTATAATTTCCATTTCTTTATTTTGGTATTTATTTTGGTCTCCAGAAAAAGTATAAAAAAGGAACATTTTTATTTCTTAATTCTCTTTTTAAAAAAAGGAGATTGACCAGGCTAGGTCCCCGTGGCACTCAACAACATAGCGAACAAAAGACAACTTACATGACAGAAGAGAGACACTGACAGACGGCAGTAACTTATACAAAATAAGCAGGCTACATCTAACTTCACAGTGTATACAGAAAAAAAGACCGGCCGCCGTCAAGCTACAGAGATGTGTCCCCAGCCAAATATTCTGTAGAAATACCTCACCCAGTGTTGTTGTTTTGTTTTAATGGCGCTTTCAGCAACTCAGGCTATTTGCGCCAACAACTGTACGTTTATTCATACACTTTATTAGTCAGCATCACATTACGGAGTTAGGAAGAAGGTCCAGTTTTAGAGGCAGGAGGAAACCGGAGTACCCGGAGAAAACCTGCGAGAGCGAGTATGGACTGGAAACCAAATGCACTTAAAGCCTGGGCCAAGCCGGGGCTCGAACCCGGGCCTCATTGGTACAAAGCGAGGAAAGAACCACCACGCTAACCCACTAACCCACTAACCCGCTCCCCCACCTCACCCAGTGGTAGTTGCATGGGCCTTTTATACCAACCTAGCAAACCATCAGTGGAATGCTAGAAGCAACCCATTGTACCTTTTGTACTTCACCTCAATGGACATTGCTCAGCACCCCCAAAAGGAATGTACCAATGCAATGAACATACCACCAGCTAAGCGCACTACCTACAACTGTGTCTTGGCCTAGCACCAGAGACCCATATTATGTGACAAAGTATACAGTGAGTTCTTCAAGACATGTGTTCAACATAAGATCTTGGAGTGGAGTTAGGCAATGCCAGTTAGCATAACATCAGTTTCCGAGCGCAGTGTACTCAGAGACGTGATTCTATTGTCCACATGATAGATTAGATGATGTTCTACAATCCTGGCCAAATGTCTTTGGGCCCCCAACGAGAGGCCCTTTCCAATGGCTGGGTCTCAGTGCGCGGCCTTCTGTCCAGCTCGAGATGACAACATTGACCGGGGATGGGGGGGACCGTGTGGACAGGGTAACTATTGTAGAGATATATGAATATGTGTACAGCGCAGGAACGCTGAGGATGTCTGCCCATGTGGGCTATTTTTTGGGATAATAAAAACTCATCCATGACTCAGTCAACATCAGCTGCCTCCGTGGTCCACCTTAGTTGCTCAATCCCAACACGGTGCCAGCTTTAAAAGGACCTATTGAACGCTAGAGCAGGTGCTGTGGCATCGTCTGTGCCTTTGGAGAACTTACCGGAGGCGAAGACAGGCAAGATTGGCCTGAAAACTTTCAGACGTCCAGACGACTCTCGCCGATGTTTCCAGCCTCCGTAATGCACCTGGACCGCCCACGTATACATGTACATTGTACCTTTGAACGAACATCGTTCACATGTGCATATCCTCACTGATCTGACGACTAGTCGGCTAGGCTAAGTCATGCACTCACACATGTATCTAATCTAGTCCATGCACTGTGACCCGTGCAGACTGTCCCCAACACGATCTTCAGAGCTCGTCCATATCGCACGTGGGATGCCGAATCAAGTCAACGATGTCGGAGTTGGCTTGTTCGTTCCCATTTAAAGTACCGGACTTGGAGGGGGCCGTTGGGCCGCGGAACTAACTGTAGGAGTAGTTGGACTGGTTACCAGTGGCTGTTGTTACTATGGAAGCCACTGCTGGGCAGCAGGAAACCCCAACATTTACGGTGACATACCGTAAATGACAGTCGTATGGAAGTCACATGTTGGAATGTTGCCCTCTCGTCCCCCGAAGCCATGGCCGGTAAATTCCAAAAATGGCCGGCGGGGGCTGTAAGAAAATTAATATCCGGAGTGCCTGGCGGAGATGGGGCAACCCAAGGCGGCGTTAAACCCATAATGGGACGGGGCTTGGCAACCAATGCAGAAGCTGGTGCCGATTCTGAGTGAGGTATGGGGCGATGGAAGGCCGTGAATCGCGCGGCTTAGTGTGATGATCTCCTGCTCAAAGCAAAGAGAAGCTTTTTCCCTGCAAGGTTGGTCGACCCAAGGCGAAGCCGAAACCGATATGAAAGCATGCTGAAGGCTGGAATCTTCATCATTAGGAACACTCGAGGTTAATTTATCCTTCAAGAAATGCTGTCGTTTTGGTCGTGGACTGCTTCACTTATTGCTAGAAGGGTATCGAAAGATAAAATCTGTGGATAGTGGAGCGTGGACTACACGCAACTATTTCAGACCATACCACATAAAACAAAGACACGCTTCAGTGGGTTTTGGGCGTGTTTATTGGGCTGAAGGTGGGGCTGAAGGTAGGTGGGGCTCATTTGCATTTTTGTCTATGAGGGAATATTCCATTTTTACTAAAAAGGTGGATCAGACTGTATTATGTAATGCAATAATACAAAGTGAGTCTTGACGAGTAGGGCGAAATATAATCTACAAACACAAACTAGGGCTATTATGCACAATTTCGTGCCAGAATTCATTCATAGATATTGCTATCTATTACATGTTATTACCCAATGAGACTAATTGTACACAGGAAGGTAAAGTATTTTTGTATTCTGCTCGAAGCACAACTGAAGCTGGGATGAGTAACTGAAGCCTTGCAAATTGTGAGTTCAACAAAACATCCTGCACATCTTTTTGGTAGTACATGTAAGTTTATTTTTAATAAGTTACATACATATTGTAATCTTCTGTTAATTGTATAAGGCAGTACTGACAATGCAGTACAGGTTATCATGTTGACTGTGCTTAAGTGACCTCCACCCGATTGGCAGTGAGATTTCAAATGCATCAAGACAGTCGATGTTGACGATTCCTACTGGCTGTAATGCCTGCCGACCTGCCTTATACTTGTTACTTTGATAAGCATGACATTTCCTCATGTCACTGTAATCCAGTCCACAAGAAGTCCTTTCACACAAGCAACCAATCATACATAACATTGTGAAAACAATAGCAAAGCCACAATTTTGTCACAGTTCATTTAAACAACTCGTGACTTGGCTTGAGACGAGATGTCTTGTGATAGACTTGTGATGGACTCAAATATGGCGCTGATTCCTAATTGCCAGTAGCTGAGAGCTTAAGTAGAGAGTGGGCTATCAAGTTCATCCACTGTCTAGTTGCTTCCTACCAATAGGCGTACAGCATAATCATGTCACGCTTTGTCTACTTGTGCCCTATCCTATGGGGACTCGATGGATTCCGTACCACCCCATTTCCATTGGAAAGTGTCCTAAGAAACAAAAGTGTGAAGTCATTATGTTACAGGTCTATTCAAAAGCACAACGTGGTTCCTACTCAACAGGCTCGAATTAAACAATTTTTGCCAAATCCCATCGTCACTCAAATTTTCCAATGGGTCCATCTCTGCCACCTCATTTAATTAGTTTCATGTCAGTGGTTCACTATTGTCAATGTTCCCTGTGTGGAAAGAGAGGCCTCTTGAACCAGCAATGCGACTGTTTCCTGTTCCACAACTAGTGCACAGTGGGGGAAAATGTAGCTGCTGGCACAGCAGCCATGTCCTCTGTATGCCTAACAGACAGTTTGACCAGAACCGTCAATCTACTTGAGAGTCTTTGTCTGTGCCAGCCGGACAACAACCATCCCACAGCATATTCTACATCCCAACACATCCCAGGAGGATGGCACTTTTCCACTGATGCAAACTGATGCTGAATCGCACTCCAAACTCACCAACCTCCTGGATTTCATCTAGGATTGAAACATATGCCTGTCCTTTCCGAGCAAATTTTAAAAACTGCCTGCCCTTTCCCAGCAAAATCTTTGACACTGACAATTTTTTTGCTTGTCCTCAGAACAGGTTGTGGGTGGCTTGATGAGACACAGCTGGTCCCCAGTCCTACACCCTTTCTCCTCATGAGGTCCCCGAGAAAAATTCCAACAGCTCTGTGGCCATCTCGTTCTCACTTTCATCCTCCTCCTCCATGTTGAGGCCGTCCTCCTCCATGTCCTCATTGTCGTCTACGTCCTCAGGACCATCCTCGTTATCATTGTCATCTATGTCCTCAGGACTGTCCTCAATGTCCTCCTCCTCATCATCATCCATACATGTATCTGGACCTTCAATGCCAACATTTTCTGCTTGTGATGTTGATGACCTGGATGAAGTATCTTCGTCTCCCTCTGTTGTGACACCTTTTAATCAACACAGAAAAGAAAAAAACAAACAAACTTAGAGTGGCAACACAACAAAAATGAAACCTGCCATGATCTGTGCACACATGCATGCAGATTTGTGAACATTCAGATGAAAGTTGGTAAAAGATGCCTAATGCACCACACATATCTGCCAACCAAAGCAAACACACAGTGCGCCTGAGAATGGAATGTTGTTGCCATGTGATCAAGTGCCCTTTACAGTGCCTTTTGGGACCAACTGTATTCTGCATTTTTATGTACCTCTCTTGAGCACCTCCTGTTCTAGCGTTCTCTTCAGTATCTCATTCATGGCAGACCTCATCTGATCCAGGACCTCTTGCTCTAAATACCTGACCGGTTGTCTGATCCCCGCCGAGTTGCTCTTGGCCCTTATCATGGCCTGGACGCCTTCATCATCGATGTCGCATAACTGATAGAACATCTGGTTGTAGGCCGGCACCAAGCCTTCCCTGAAAATAAAGTAGGCTTCCTGAAGAGCGAGAACATTGTGGAAAAAACAGAATAATTTGACCTGAAGCAGCCTCTCTAAAAATAAGAAGTGAGCAGTGGAAATCAAGAAAAAATAGTTCAAAGATGGAGGCCTGGAACCCCCCCCCCATACGATTCTTGGGAGCAGTATGGCGCTTACCCTTCATATACAAAAGTTATATCTGCCTCCCATTATGAATGTATTTATGAAAATTTCATTCTGTTCCGATATGCCCATTTTCCTGAGACAATGTTAGCTTTTCTAACTGAGACTGCTCAATGTATGTAGGCCAGTGCGTGAGAGTGTGACCCATAAATGACTCTAACAAGTAAACCCAGAACCAGATTGAGTTGAAAAAGTTACTGACATACTCATAATGAATGTCTCTAACTGCCTTCCAAGTTTTTAAATGATGAAGCATGGGACTGCCAAGGTTCATATACATTGGGAGAAGACAGATTCTCCCCTCTCTCCTACCCAATATCCTGCAAGATGACCCCAAAAAATTGGCTTCTTAGCGTTAAGTGAGGACAGTGTTAAATGAATGCATGGATTTATTGGTGCAGAAAGATGAAGATAAAGACCTTTTCAAGTGCTTTCCTGTTTTCTCTTTGCAAAACCTTGCTCTTGGGGGGTCTGACATAGGTAGACAACTTCTTATCTGGCTTCTGGAAAGAAGCCGGCATACTCCGACGGGTGGAAGTGTTCCTGAAGCGGTCTTGGTCATCTGCAGGCATCACTAATTTGTTCCTATACAAAGCTGGAAGAGCAAAATTGTAAAAAAATAATACATGTGAAATTGCATTTTTCCCTGAAAGGGCATCACACGTTCTGTCAAAGGTCCACCACACGTCATCCAGTTCAATCAAGTCTCATGCCATCAAATGCCTCAGAGATAAAAAGCATTCCTTTGTCACTGCTAATGCTGTTACCTGGATCTAGACTTGTGAAAGGACCCATGACGGAACTGACAACACTGATTTGTCTTCAGGATTCAGTTTTGGACAGACTGTTTTATTTCACCTCAGCGATTGGACAAACGGGTATCTATGGGACTTATCACACTAATGTCACTACAAATTTGATGAAACTTACAGTTAGTATTTGCAATAATTCTTACGAGTAGTCACTTTTTCTGAATGACCAATCTCTCAACATCAAGGGATTAAGGGAGTTGACCGAAACTCTAAAATCCCATGGCAGAATTAGTACGTATTTGACCTCTTTTTATCGACACGTGCCAGAATAATGACTACTTTGTTAACGGCAGTTCCGACAGAAATCTAAAAGTTCCATGACTTCTCCAGGAGTTTCCATGACTAAAATGTGACAATTTCCATGACATTTATGCCCTTTTGCAGAGAACAATTATTTGCTATCATGAACTGGAAGACTACCACATCTACTACGACAGCAGGCAGACAAGGATATAGTCTGTACAGTTACCATTCTCCAGTTATCACATAATGAGCTGCCCAGCAAAAATAACCAGTGCTTCATCTTGATTTCCAAAACTTTTGGTGACTTCTATTTTGTTCTGACAACAGATTTCCAGGACCCTTTATCCCTTATGTTTTATTTCCCATGACTTGACAGGACAATTTATTTTCCCCAGGATTTCCATGACTGTGGGAACCCTGTCTACTCATCCTAGCTGCATCCATATCCACCAGAAGGGTTTGCAATTGAGGAAACTCCAGTCTGACCATGGCGCCAACGTTCCTTTCAGTGGGGTTTGGCATCCCTAAGAATTTGGGGAAATTCATCAGAAATTGCTCGGGGAGTTACAGTTTAACTGTGTGTGAAATTCAAAATGGAAATTTGAATCTCTCTTACATTTCCGTATCCGGAAGTCCAAAATCTGGTATTTCAAGCCATCCCGTGCAGTGCGGGGGTCATAGCCCAGACGAACCCACGTGGCCCTCCACGGTCCATTGCAGAAGTAATAGGATACAGATGGCAGCAGAACACTCAGCTGACGATCAGTAAGGGTGCAGTTGTGTCTCAGGGCACCGCGTGACCACACTGGGCGTTTAGTAAAAATCTACATATAAGCCAATTCACACAGCGATGGGAGTTATTTGGGCCAAAGTAGAGGTATGTGAATCCATTTACAACATAAGACTCATTATAACTTCAGGCACTGAGCCTCACTGCATGCAATGTACACTATGTATATGGATAAAACTGTGACCCCTTTAAAGGCCGGTAAATACTCATACAAATGCAAATTTGTGATGTCAGATCACATATTCACACTTTGAATTCTCAAAAATTCAACCCATTTTAACAGGAGTAAAGATTTCGCTGCACATGTTTCGTGATGTACACTTCACTTCGCTTTCCCATCCATCTAAAGTACATGTATGAACCGGCCTTAATGCTGTACAAGCCTTCTACATTGTACCATTACAGCCAAGCTGGTCCTCCTAACATTGAGTGTTATGCTACCTCAAGCTGCCCTTTCACCCCAGCAGTGAATTTTTTGCCAAAACCTGGGATATTATAATTACGCCTGGCCTGGACTGATGTCCTTGTGAACCTGGAAATGTTAGTGTTAGTCAGTGGGGTTTTTGGATGCTTCACCACAGCAAAGCCTCATGGTGTTGGATCAAAACACGAATGATTTTTTCAAGTCCCAACAATCTAACATGAACTATCACATTCAATGAAACACAAACTCAAGAAGTACTTATGAAAGTGGAGAACAATCTCCAACACTTAAAGTCATGTTGCCCATTAAAGTTCAATGTGAAACCTTTACACATAAAGATACACATCCTCGTCAAGGTCATTATGAATGAGAATATGCAGTTACATACCAACATTGAAAAATCGGAAATCTGAACACCAATTTTACAAGCCCACTGCAAGACAAGTTGCAGCACAAGAGAAACTACTAACATGCACAAGTATACATGTATGTATGTGTAAGACCTCCCATTTTGACACAGTAAATAGCACCCTCTTTTGTCAGGACCTTTTTTTTTTCAATCAGAATGTTCCGATTTCTTACTGTCTGAAGATATAGTTGTGATTAAATCAGAATGGTTGGCAGGACGTGGAAAAGTAATGAGTAGGAATGAAGTAACTAAATAAACGATTACGAGATTGCTACACAGTGATTTCTCATCAATGTGTGATAAATTACATGCTGGGCAGGTATAATGAGACGGCACATTATAGGCCACGTTCGAGAGACAACCACTTCATTTTGCCTGGTACCCAGAATACATTTCGCGTACATGTTACCAGGCAAAATCAACCACTAGTCGATAAATGGTCCTCACTCAAAATTGATCACAGATAATACCTGAACGAGTTCATCCCTCAACAGCCCTACACTGTTGTCTCTCTCCTTGCCCTTCTCAAAAACCAGCATGGCATCTGGGTGGGGAGCCATGGGTACACTGTCCTGCTCAAAGGACACCAGGTAAGTGTTGTGGGGCCGCCGTGCTCGCCCACTGCCCACAATGTTCTTGTCCAGTCTTTTGCCAACCTAGATTGAAGTAGCAGAAGTTGACATCAAGTACGTCACTGACAGCTTTGAAATTAAAATAACTCTGTGTATGACATTGCTACGATCTTGTGGATTGCCTCACAGCATTTAATACGTTTCCTAAGAATACCTGGGATTGAAGAGGGAAGAATCTCTCTGTTTGCCTCAGATACCATGGCAGCACATTCTTACTAATGCTAAGCCCTGCTGACATTTTTCAGCTGTCTTCCGTTTTTCTGAATCTGAATTTTATGAAAATCAAACATATCATGTTTCTGGCATGTCCGTTTTGAGACAATCGAAAACGGATTCCCACTAGCTATGCGCTCTGCACAGGCTGACATGCCTGAGAGCATGAAACTGCAAATGACCATAACAAAACCCTCTGTCACATTGAATCTTCAGAGATGTACTCGTAATGGATGCCTTTACATTCTTGAGTGGCCCTGTGGCAAACTGAGAATCAATGTCGACAGGAAAAGTAAAAAACCCTCCATTTTTAGAACTACCAGTATACACATTAGCTGGGATGTCAGGGCTCGAAATTGGGCTAATCATCACGGGAGCAAGTACTTGCTCCCTAAACAGCTGAATTTGTCTGCATGCGATGTACAACTAGTAGTGAGTACACAACCAACCGGAACCTCAAACATGTGCTTAGCGACACTACGCAAAAAGTCGGGCACCAGGCCTTTATAACGTGTATATGTACACAGACGTAAAAGGAAACTGCAGCAATCGAGTGTTCTAGAAATGAGTGGATTAGGCTGAGACTTTAGTTTCGCTGGTTCCAGCTATTTTGGAGCACGGTTCAAAACCACATGTTGAAGCTATGACTGGAACCAGCGAAATCCATTATTTTGATTTACGGGCGCATTTCTGAGACAAACAGGTGTACTTTAGCTACCTGTGCCCGTTAACTTCGAGCCCTGGATGTTATATTTTATAGCAGCACACCATTCTACAGATTACAGAAAGTGAATGGAGTTTCAAAGGAAGAAGTGGTACCATATAGGACAAGCTCTCCATGGAAGGCACAACATCAGGGTGGTAATGATGGGTGGAGGCTTGGTCCGTGCGAGAGAACACAGGAGGCAGCATGAAGAGAGGCACGTCCTGCTTAAGAAAGCTGGCGTCTTCTGGTTTGGTGGGGATGACCTTCTCTATTAGAGACTCCATACGACCTGTTTCCTCATTCCGTTGCATGGGCAGGTACTGGAAGTCACACATTCCTTTATTTTCAGAGGAAAAAGCAAAGTGAAAAGTGAAAGCTCTCCTTTTGACAACAGTGAATTGGTAATGAATTTCTCCAGACAGTGGCAGTGTGTCTTGGTAAGTGGGGTTCATCTGTGAAGTCCTCCATTAAACTTTCTTCATCACTCAGACACCAAATCCGCGAATCAAGGCAATTCCAGTGCAGAAAAGAACATCTTCTATTTTACATGTGCTTCCATCTCTTCATGGGAAGAACTGTCACTTTGTACGCTTGTCACTCAACCAAAGACAGCAATGGGAGAGCACTCAAACATAGGACATACAGTAGCAAATGTTTTCATTGGGCAATACTGCTCTCTGCAGCAAGTTTAGTGCATAACGCTAAATGCACTGCCATTCCACACGTCATCAACCATGAAAGATGCACGACAGGCACTGTTCATGAAAATACAAAGTATCACATGTCTACCAAAGGTTTATAACACATAAATTTAAAAGTGAATAAAACAGCTTCCTTTCCAAACCTTTAAATTGATAAACATTGTCAATGACTCCAACAAGTTCCGTCTGGTACCCTGCTTGCTCCTGTACAACTTTTTTGCCTTCATCTTCCAAATCATCTCCCTGACTATCAGACTCCATCTCCACACTGCCACTGCCAGCTTGTTTCTTATATCTTTTCTTGACTCTGAGCAGGATGCTGGTTGCTGGCTGTTTGCTGGCGTACAGGGAGCGGCAGAAAGGGTCATCCGGTCTGAACTTCATCTGCAACTTCTTTGCCGAATCAGCACTTAGGGTCTAATCATTGGGAAATAGTTTTTTCTCGAGATTGAGCACTTCATTTACATGTAGAAAAGGTTCAGAAGGCCGTTTTCAAATTACACACAACAGGGGTACCATTGGAGGAAAATTAAATATCCAAAAAATAATCACCAGAGGTTTTGAGGACCATAGCATCATACAGGGTCTATGGTACACATCAGTGTTTGTCCAAATGAACCCCTTCTTTTGTTCTATGTAAAAACACCTTAATACGATAATGGTTATTTTCTTAAAATGATTGACTGGATCATCCGGATATTGGGAACATCGAGACGAAAACAATCCTGAAATCAGGAAAAATCCTGACAAACCTCATGTTCGCCAATGCAATTCTGTGTGACAAAGTGGCTGCAGCCAGAACCATATGTGTACATGCACACTCGAGCATTTTTTCAAATGTACATGTACAATGTAGTAGGCTGGTAGGGCCTAACTCACAATTATGCCAAAAATTTTGGATGAAAATTGAGAGTTTTCCGAAAAACAAAACTTTGACCCTAATATTAATATGGTAGGTAACTGAAGAAAAATTGCAAATATGTCATACACAAGCCAGAATTTTGCCTTTTAGCATATCTCCAACAATTTGAAAGGTTTGAAATGCAATTTCAAAACTGGTTTCCCTTGCTGTGCTGAAAGTTATTAAAGTGAAATGAGAAGCCCCATAAGGCCCCTACTATCAACTACTCCTTAGGATAGTGACAGACTATTTGTGTATTGATTGTTGATGGGCACTAAACTGTTGTTATGCATAAGGTCCAAGACTTTACTCTAAGAAGAAAATTCTTGTTTAATCAAAAAAAAACTGTCGAACTGTCACACTCACTGTTTTGTGTGTGTTGCCAACAGTCTGTCAAGTTTGACACATGCTTACGTACTGTACGTAGGCCTACCTGAACAAGGTTGTAGACCTATAGTATAAACATAAACCTTCGGTCCATGCCTGACGTAAGGCAGGCCTTGGCCCTAGGGGGAGGCCTTGGTCTTCATAAACCTTTTCGACGTTCACAATTCATTATGGATATGGATGACAAACAAGCAATGCATTTTATGGACAACCCTAAGGGGAAGTAAACCAGTCAAACATCAATACATCTATACAGTTTCCTATTAAATATTTTTTATGTATCTGCTCATCAACTCACATATACACCATGTATCAGATTAGACAACAAACATTTTCAAATACGTTTCCAAATGTTTGTAAGAACAAATCAACCTTAATTGCCCTTTTTAAGGGCACCAGTCATGCTACAGGCTGAAAATGAATGTGACTGGTCAACGCGGGATTGGACAACACTAGAACATTAATATTCACGAAGTAATCAAAGCACGGTCCATGACAAACAGTGTGTTGTTGGAAGGGCTTCTCCAAATTTTCCTTCTCAGACAAGCTTTAAACTTTGAAGTTTGTGAATATCTTCGTCCCAAATCAATAATCCAACAATTTGTCAGAAGGGGGTGGCTTGAATTGAAGTATGACATAAAATGGAAACAGATTAACATTTTCAGGTACACTTCTCCCAATAGAATTGTGCAGAAAATGCATTGCACGTTTGTAATCCAAACCCACAATGCATTGCGAACGTCGAAAAGGTTTATTGACGGCAAGATGAACTGCACTGCCCGCAAACGTCACAACGGAAATCCCTCAAATTAAATTTGCAAAATACCAACCTTCGAGACTGCTTCTTCGCCACCGAGAGTTTTTAGCATCTTGTCCACATTCTGAACTCTGGCTGGAAATTCAACACAAACAAGATGGGGGAGTTTTTGTGGGTTGTCTGCCAGTGCAGACGAATTTTCTTCGTGCAAGTTGTCCGCCATTTCTGACACTGTCCTCGTTCAAAGATTTGTGTTTTGTGGGAAAAAAGAACAAATTTATCTAACCGTTCCCCAATAAAAAGAAAATGATAAATTGGAGTACATTAATAAAATGTTCAAAAAATTGACAGTAAATATTCTTAATTAAACGTCTACACCCACACGGTAAGTCAGTTGCACTTTATTTAATTCACAGACTAAGCACCTAAAGGGGCGTGGCTACGTGAGACCATGATTCGGGGGATGAGGCAAATGGTTGACAGTGGTTCCTTTCTTGACATTTCTGTTGACAAGAAAGTAATCTACTTCTCGTTCCCCAGTCTTCCTCCATTCTCAAAAGAACATCATTATCAAACAGACTTCATAATTCATTGAAAATGCTCTCATCATGCCATGCCAATTTGCCATTTTCAGCCCCTTTCTTCCATTTTGGGCAGGTTTTCTCAATCATATCCTTTCCTTTTAAAGCCTTTATTCCTTGAAAGCCAACACTTTAATCGACAAGTAAATTCTATCAACAAAACAGAACAAGGAAAGGATAACAAACAATAAAGGTAAAATTTTCCTGAGGAGAAATGTGAGAATGTTGACAGATCGGAGACCCCCACCTTGTTGATTTTGTATTTTATTTATTTCCTTCTCCCCAAGAATCAAGATACTATCCATTTTTTCTTGTTTCTATCGTACTTTCAACAGTTACTGCTATTTCAAATAATATTTACCTATCAGAGTTGAATTAGTACCAAAACAGAATGTGAATAAAACCATTTTTTTTAGTTAGGTATAATTGCAATTTTATTTCTTCATATTAAAGAAGGAAGTTATTTCCTTCCCTCTGAAATCCAGCAATGGTCAGATCAAATGATTTCTGACAGTATATTCATATTTATTTACAAGTTGTTCAAAGCCTTTGTGTGATCCTACATTAATATTCATGGAACTCAGAATTACCCTAAATCCAGCTTGACTCCAGTTTGAACACATGCAGTGGACGCCAGCCAAAGATTGTGTCAGGTTACACATTAAAATTCAATAATAAAGGCCATGATAGCATTGCAGAAAATACAGGCTTTTGTTTTATTTCATAAGAGATTCAGCAGTGTAACATAAAATATAATTAGTATCTATAGAGTAATCATGGCATCATTCAACTTCCCAGAAAAGAACAAAATAATCCCTTTCCCAAAACACTTTTATCTGCCGAAAAACAATATCCAGAACAAACAGATGATCAATAATTCAGAACATAACACAAATGCAACTTAAAAATAATCATTGCACTGTTCTATCCAATAACCTCTCCACAAGTAAGACAACAGTCCAACATCAACCATTCCTACTTCATGACTAATTACAAGCAGTCTTCCTTTATAGTCACAATAAAACTGTATTGTTTTCGTTAATCTGAGATTTTATCAAGGGATTTCGGGTAACAGTGTTCTACACCACAAGGTATTTCACTGTATATGGGACGCTACATATGAGAGAAAACATGAAGGAAGTTATATAATCAAGGAAAGAAGATATATGCATGTCTTAGTACATTTATTTTTATCCAACGTGTTTTTCCAAATTGACTGCACCATTCCAAGTTCCAAAATCCTTTTGAAATACCTCACAAAGATATGTGAAGTGCAGACTTTTAAGTGTAGACATTCCTAAAACTCAATATTTGCAGGACTGAAATAGCTTGTAGTTTCCCAAATTCCTTTAACACTCACATTGATATACCTTCTCAGAACTTTTATGCAACAGCAGAGTATGCTCAGAATGAATGTGAGGTCACAACAGATGAGGCTCGGCCCAAACTTTTTCCCACATTAAAATCAAATCTTTACTATTTACACCAGCGCACTACAATATTCTCTTACTTTGGAAATTAAACAGAATAGATAAAATAAACATGTCTGAATCTGCATCAATATTTGTACATTTCCTTTAATACTCTAGTCACAACCATAAAATTGTACTTATTGAAGGGGAATTTTTTCTTTGGGGGGAAATATGGTAAGGATTAGGCATACTAGCATATCACTTGTCATGTTCTTTTCCTCTGCAGTTCAGCAGAACCCCTTTGTGAAATTTACACAATTAACAGCTCCCCCAGAAACGAAATTGAAACGAAAATTTAATAAAATAGACTACTACCTACAAATCTACAAGACACAAAAAGACACAGAAACTGGCAGAAGCGACAATTTGGGGCTCTCACATTCAGCCATTTCAATAAATATTCCAAAGATGAAAAGATCATAGCATTTGACAAAAGGGGTTCGCTTTTTTGCTATTTGTTATCACGATCCAGTTGTCAATTTTAAATTCCCAAATTTGACAATCCAAACTATGTTAAATAGATTTTTTAAAGACATTTTCAAGACAAACTTGAATCTACATGGACTAGTCTCATTCACTTTACCCATTCACCGTTTTCTTCCACTAATGGCAATTCCCTTTGTTGATTTTCTGAGACAAAAGGAAGACAAACTTCACAACTCATAAATGATTATTTCAAAACTCCTAAATTTTTGTAATGCCAGATCACTGAAGTATTAAACGTAGACAATAAATGTTTACCTGCATCAGGAAAGATTTCACCGTAAGAACCACTGTTACAGATTACAAGGTGGTCATGTAATTAAATCATTACCAGTACATGGCTCGCCCTGTGCTTGCAGATACCTAAACCCAATGTTCCCTTGTAACCACAACCCTATCCCAATGTGTAGGCAACCTCTGAGCTCATATTGGACAGAATTTCTGTGGCATTGATGGGCCAAGGTCCCTTTTTTTAATTTATGAAAACCAAAGTTTCAGTCCATTTCAGTTCCATTACTTGAAAAAAGTGTGCGAATAACATCAAAATCATGCCTCAGCCCCCATGCAGAAAGGCCATTAAAGGCAAAATGACAAAATTCAAATTTCTGACCCAACCCCCCCCCAAAAAAAAAATTTAGTTCTGGATCTATCCTTGCTTGTGGCATCTTTTTTCCTTCAGAGAGTTCTCTGACAGATATTGGCTGTCATAAGAAAACATGGATAGAGCAGTGAGTAGTTGTGAAAACCTTCATAGTTCCACTGGACAGAACATGCTAATCCAAGCTTCTCCTTGTTTGTGATTTCTTCGGTTCCAATCAGGGCTGGAGCACCATGTTCTACCTTTGTGTGGGGTACTGCCTTCTGGTGCCGTAGCCCCGCCTCCCCGATGAGCCCAACCCTGCACTCCTGGTCGGACCCCCAGCAGGCGGCATGGTAGGTATCTGACCAGGCATGTCCTTAGGGTTGAAGAACATGGGTCCCGTTGCTGGGGGTTGGCTGGATGGTGGCTGGGCTTGACTGGACCTGGCTGGCTGACCAGCAGCAGGCTCCTCCTGGAAATTGTGGTTTGCAGGAAAGGAGAGATGCAGTGTCAGCCTTCAATGAAATTATTACTTGAAGCACTGACAAAAAGGAAATCAAGTACCTGGAATACATATGTAGCTTATGTTTTGCCAGGTTTGTCAAATGCTATTCTCAATGGTTAATTGAGAAGTGACAATTAACACACAGGTGTCAGTGACAATCACAAAACAGTGCACAAAACTGCAGTCAAAACCTGTCAATCTAGAGGGCAAACCATATTATTCTTCACAAATTTGAGATCATGATTAATGTTGAAACCTTCACTTTCTTGCAGCAGGTATTATTTCAATCATATTTAAGGCCCTGAAATGTTTCTGATCTTCTAAGTGCTAAAATACTACTTTACTGTTCCATGATATTTTTAAGTTCTACTAGGAAAACAGTGGTTCTAAATATGCAAATGCAATGTAAGAGCAGCTACTGCGATTACCACAAACACTAGTTAGCACTACCAACGTAATGAAAGGAAGTTAGTTTGTAAAAAAAAAACAGACGAGGCAAGATGTACAACAATGCACATCGCCTCCATGTTAATTTAACTATGCAGCAGCCTTATGTTATTGGCCACAAGAGCAAGAGCAATGACCTAGCAAATAAACACAAAACAACAGTCATTTGCTCAACGCAGGAACGGGCTGATGAACATTCAGATATTGTTAGTGATCAATGTGGACAATGCAAATATACATACAAAGCGATATTCCCTCCATCTTCTCTGTTAGCATAGGTTAAACAAGAACACAAATAAAAGCCAATTTCAATATTTTTCAAGGAGGCAAGAGCTACTTCAATTTCAGAAGCCGCAGCATTTGGAAGGGGGGGGAGTGTAACATCCCCATGGTGTATTCATGGATTCATAAAACCCAAAGAAAAGATGATTCCATTTCAAAGAGCCACTGGAATGAATGCGCTACATGCCAAAGTTTGCAAGGGCAATTCCACACAAAAGTGAGAATTGATCATGCTGACTGACTGACATTAAATTATCTGTAAATCACACACCAAAACCACTTTTTTTAGAAATGAAGGTGGAAAAATCTGTAAATCTGTTACCTCTTATTTCCACTGTCATTTTTGGAAGAACTTCCAGTTGCTTACGAATCATACTGATGATGGTACCAGCACAACCAACTTTCACTTTGAATGCAATTGCTACTTAACAAAACTAACTTATGTAAAGTGGACAACCTCCTTTATTTCGCATTGGAGGCACACTAGTATGACTCATCCGTACCGTGCATTAAAAATAAAAAGACTCATGTTTCAAAAAAATATCACGGGAAAAAAATTATGTATGTTTAAAACAAGATTCCCATCCACGTGGCTTCATAAACCAGAGTTTGGTATTTTGTTCTTCATTATTCTACGACAGATAGAGTGCTGGCATATTGTACTTGGCTCATGGAAGTCACAGATGGCCATGGAAGGTGTGTTTTCAAAGGCCTTTTGAAATTGACGCTTTATCAGCAAAAAATCATCAAAACCTTGTGAAAATACAAATATTAAATGCTAAATCCTGATCAAGAATCTACTGTCTCTTGAGTAGTCCAAGATTAACCAAAGACGCTATATTTTCAACGGAGCAATAAACAATGCCAATAGTCTGGTGTGATTTGCATTCCATGGATTGGTCTCCGTAAACATGTAACACCCCCTCCCCGGCTAGCTTAGACTGAAGTTAGTCACCCGTGCACAACCAAAACTACACAATGAGTACCATTTGTGGAATGAAAAGGGCAGTGCGGTGAAAGTGATCACTAAGCCAATGCAGATGTTGGATAACGGACAATAGGCTCCAATTTACAACTGAAACACACAGCAGTGAAAACTGCACATTATTCAACCCCTAGAAATATTCCTGGTGATTCTGAAACAACATGATGCAAGCTATGTATGAGTACAAGTAATAAAGGTGTGAACAAAGCAGACATGAAAGGGTGCCGTATAATCACCACTGCTCTGGAATCTAATGGGGAAAGGGAAATTCGGAAAAAATTTAATTTTCATGTTGATATTAACCCCTTTCAGATTCGGCTAAATGTAATATGAGAGAAGGTGACTGAAGTGAAGGCAGTTTGCGATGGTGCTAAGAGCTGGTGGTGAGGTAGGGAGGCTGTATATAGGGTTTTGTTATATGAGTAAGCATTGGTCCCTGCAGCAGAATATGTTCCAAAAGTATGAAATTTCTCATATGCTGTACTTTCCCCACAGCCAAACATAAGAATTTTTCATAAATCAGTGCATAGATTTTCTACAGGTATATGTAGAGCCTAGATTCCCATTGGGCAAAAATAGGAGGGCACCCCACACCAAATTCTTGGACCATTTTCGTTTTTTCAAAGATTTCTGCACAACTAGCACTTTGTGCTCCACATTCACAAACGCTAGTTTAATGCATGACCCAAGTTTTCTTGCCAACCCGAGAAATATGCTAACTATTTGCAGAATTTTCTGTTGCGGTTTGCAAAAATTCCTCACATACAATAAACAGAGTCACATCTGGAGTTAGCACTGCTCCGGTAGCAATCTATGATTTTAGCATACTTACATGTAGCTACTGCTTATAGGGTACATGCTAGAGGTCCAACAATCCCTCAACTATGGCATGTTCTGAGATTCCCCGTAAAGTATGCTACAGCAGTTTTGGATGAAGTTATTCAGGTTAGTCTTGGCTTAGCTACGTGTTGTGATGTCCTACTGTCATGTTTGGTCGCGGAACCACTGTGCAAGATGCCCTTGAACTTTTTTTGCTTGACAGAGTTAGCGGGGGAAAAATAGCCCAGAAGTAGAGGATATGAAGCAGGAGAAATGAAGAGAACTGCCGAATGGAATCCTTGATACCTTTTCTTGCATATGTTGGCTGACCTCATAGGACAGGGAGCTCATGGAACTAGATCGAGACAACTGAAGCAGGCAGGAAATTGAGGTGAAAATCAGAACAAAACCAAAAACACCAAATCTAACGTGGGGGGGGTTGGGATGGAATGGATGGTCCAGGACCCACCTGTGGCCCTATACCAGCAGACTAGACTTATATGGCTTCATTACTGAGACATATCTGATGCAGTCATAATTCCCGCACCAGAACAATTTTGCCTTCTTACATTTCGATCTCCTACACAACTTGTCATCCAACAATGACAAATGAACAGTTCATTTTGCATACGGTACGATGTACATGTATGTAAGTGTGACAGCACCGTTTTGAACAATCCTGTGTGTGAACTAAATGCCAAGTTTTATTGTTTCCAACAATAAACTTTATACCAGGTACCCTTCACACTTCTAACTTGGATCCCTCTGCTATAAATCTCAACACAAAGCACACTGAATCTGATGGGAGACTTGACCTAACTCTAAACCTAATGGCCCCTTTTAGCTCCAAATGGCATTCTGGCCTTTACAGTGCTTGACTGTTGTAATCATCGAGTATTTCCTAAGCAGTCTGATCAAGTGACAATTTACGTTGATGACTCTGCCTACTATGACCACAGAAATATGCGATTATTGACAATGTTTGACTGATATTGACTGTCTGACTGGTAAGAGCTCACAAAAAGGAGATTATTGGGTAACATGTCAAGCAGGAAAAGCTGGAGCAAACTGTGTACAATCATGTACATGTAGTTCAAGTCTTGGGGGTTTCCTTTGAAACCGTTTGCTAGAGGGGATTCTAGATACTGTGACAGTGACCCTAAGCTAGGCTCTACTGTTTGCAAGTGACCAAACGAATCTAAATGAGCAAAATGTATGAATGTTCTGCCTGTGTTTCTCCTTTCCACACCTACTGTAGCCTTGTGTTTGCAGTTTCAACATGAACAGTAATGTACATGTACGTTGTTAAGTTTCCCTAGCGGAATTCTTGGGTAACAAACCTAAAACGTTATCCTTTTACACCGATCAAAGCACTGAACACTCATTTGAAAATATTCAAACCAAATGAAGCTGGGTAGGTGCCTGATGGCAGGTCTGGTGTCTTATGAACTTTGGACAGCAACATGCACATGCCACAAGCTAGTTACCAGACCTTTTCCCACCATCAAAGACAAGTCTGCATTGGGTATTTACAGGAAAAACTCAGACAGAATGTTGTACTAATTCACATGCTGCTTTCACAGTTCAAAATTCAGTATCATGGCAAAATTAAAGTACATGTACATCCAATGATGAGTGCATGGGAGATGAGTGCATCTTGTCCAGAAACTCTGTGCAGTGACAGTGAACATACACATTCAGTGAGATGCAGAAACTCAAACAGGTGAACAGTTTCAAAACTTCAAACGTTAAGTCAAAGTATGTCAAAAGTGGTCTTGATTTTAGAATAAGTTAAAAATAATCAAAATCAAAAAGCAGTGGTACATGTATATTCACCCCAAACCCCAAGGGACCATTGAAATTAGGCAGAATCTGTGACTCTGTGTAATTAGCCCTGTGAAAAATGAATCATATAAAAACTGTGTGTCTAAAGTCAAAGTGGTTCGTATTTCTAGAGGGGCTACTGTCAAAGGTCTAGAGGAATAGCACTGTGACAATTCACCACCCTCCATCTGCCAACCTACTGGTCTGAGATATTCTATTTTATGAATGCTGCTTCTGCTTATCGGGGATGCATGACTTCCTTGGGCCGGGGGGGGGGGGAAACTGACTGATGTTTTCATATGGGAACTCCAGTTTCATTTTGTTACAGGTACATACGTACGTATCTTTGGTTTGTGTAGGGAAACCCCACAAAGTGCAAGAAAGACAATAGGTGCCAGGAGAAAGTTAACTGTGAAGGACTGTTTCAAAAGCGTAAAACAGAAGGGAAAATAATGTAGATTGTAAAAAATGAGCAAAAGCCTGGAAAATGGAGTTAACTCTTTTTTGTGGTTGAGATTTAGTCTTGTCTAAGCATAGAATGACCTGATCTGGCTATGAACACATCAGGAATGTTATAATGCTCTCCATGGAATATTCTCCCTAATGCTCCTTGTGACCAATCAATGGTGACAAACAGAAAGCTACCTGCATGGAAAACACTGGGACATCAGTGACTCAGTGTGCCAAGCCCCATACAAAAAGCATGGCGGCAGGTTTGTGTGCATTCAGATGAGATTTAGTCACTCCGTCTTTGCAAATGAATCAGTGCCCTATCCCACCCCCCACTCTCATCAGCAAACAATGATCACAAGCTGTTACAGTGTTCCTATAAGCAGTCCCCAGAGGCACACCAAACGGACCAGAAAATAGGTCCAAGTTGCAAGCAATTTCCTCAAGATTGCCACAGAATCTGTGATGTTCAATAGATGTGGAAAAAAAAAACCAGAAAAGCAGTGAGCTGTATTATTGCCCCCAAGACCAGTGCAGCATTCATTAGAGCCAAGAGGGAAACAGTTACTGCACTCTCTAAGAAAAGGAACTGAAACATTAGTGCTGTGCACAGTACTAACGGCTTGCCAACACCAACTAAAACAAGAGCAGTCTTGTTTATATACCACCAGCAGCACTTACATTCACCTCTTGTTGAGACTGGGCAGGCTGGGTATTGCCAGCTTGGTGCATTGATGGCCCTTGCTGCTGATACTGTTGTTGATCTGCTTGTGCACTGATGCTGGCATTTGCATTATTGCCAAAGGTGTTTGGATTGAAGAACTAGTTTAGAAAGAAAAGGAGACTAAATTCAACCTGTCAATAGGATGCTACTAGTAGGCTTTTCATATCAGATAACCGATTGGATATGAAGAGAACCTTCTTTGATCCTCCAAAATCCACCAATGTGCAGGAAGCGAAAACAAATTGTGTAATGCAACTTTCGAAAGGCACGAGTCCGATGTACAGTAATGGTGGTGGAGCTAATTCCTTCTGTATCTTTCAAAATCCTCTACAGCCTGCAGGTTTGTTTCTCGAGGGCTGAGGTTAAAGGTTGCCTCAGTAATATCAGACTGAGGGGACCATTTCTCTTTATTTTACTTTTGGACTGAATTGTGGGGGCCCTTGCTGTCCGGGTAACAAACTTGTCCCTCGTGATAAGTATCCTTCAACACGTGTGAAGTCCCCACAATTATGGTGCCACTATGTATGTATGTGCCACACACAGATGAATGGAGTGACACATGACAAGGCATGGCTGCGTGGCATTTACCTGCTGCTGCTGCTGCTGCTGTTGTTGCTGCTGTTGCTGTTGCTGCATGCCTGACTGATCCCCATGTGATGCTGGGCTGGCTGGTGTCTGCGAGCGAGATGAGGGGTTGGCAATTTGTGCCTGCTGGATGGAACCACTCGCATCATCTGCGACTGTAAACCAAGAAAGTAATACAAGTGAGATTAAGGTAATACAATATGGATATCTAAGTCCCCTTTCTGCTGCATATGTAACACATTTTCTCTTACTGAATAATCGTCACAAACACTATTGCCGGTATTCTTCATCTAGATATCCAACATAACAGCAGAATGCATGAAGAAAAACCCTGAAATCCAGAAATGCCTTTAAGAGTAAAACATCTGTTGCATGTGGAACATTGCATGTTCAAAAATGTGGACTTGCTTATATCTAGAAGTGGAAGACTTGTTAAGAAGGGCAAAGTAAAACGTAACCTAAGAAACTACTCCAAAAGTCAATGTAAATGCATATGAAATTCTTTTTGTGTGCAATCTTTTCATCAAAAAATACAACTGCCGTCAAGGACACATTCACTGTCTTTTAATGACTGGTAATCATTTTTCAAGTAAAGATATTTCAAGAAAATATTCATAACTTGACAACATGTGACAGTGTCTCCATCAGGCTGGTTTATTGATTTGTCCAGTAGAAAACTAACCAGTAGTTCAGGAACAAGTGAACGTTTACATCTTATGCATGCAAGCAAATACAGCTTTTTTTCCTGCAATGGAGGTATTTATATTTCCCTACCAGGTGCAGGGACAAAGAAGTTCATGTTGGTAGCCGAAGGTCCAGAGGGCAGGGTTTGGAACAGGCTGCTTGGTGCCTGGGCTGAGGAGATCGTCGCTGGCTTAGCACTGCTTTGAAGCACGTCTACATAGTTCCGTTTGGCTGTGAGAGTTTTATCAAAAGAATCCTTCATATGCTTCCGTACCAGTTACATTAACAATTAACAGAAGTCCATATTTCCATAATACAAGCATCTACAAATATCTGAGCACTGACAGAGAAAAACAATGAGCAAATGAATACAATACAAACAAATAAATGATAAACACTTTGTATGTAAAACAACAGAGTTTCAAAGCATGTGAAACAGTTAAAGCTTTCCAAACATTAGAATAAATGCATGAAACAGACTTGGAGATCTTGAGCGAGTACACATGAATGAAGCAGTCAAGACTCTGGAAATTTTACAGTTAGTGTATGAAGCTGTGAAGACTCATTGAAGCTTCATACGCATGTACATGACACAGACAAGACAAAGAGGATGTCTGGCACTTCAGATCTGATTTACGATGTTTCTTATCATCTCTGGTTTCCCTCATTTTCAAACTCAGTGGCTGGTCCGCACTTACCCGGTCTCCTAAATTTGTTGTCTCCTGAGGCGGGAGGGCCAGATGGTCCCTTGGCATTCCCTTCGCCCTGAGGGTTAGGGGGCTGTGTTGCAGACGACTGGAGCTCGCGGAATGTAGGTGGGGCTGCAGGGGCTGCTTCACTCTACAAATTGCATTTGCAACATAAATTTTTTTTCATGTAGGTTTGTGACCAAAAAAACTTGTTTATGAAGAACTTCCCTTAAAAGGATCAATTTGAAAATGACCATTTTCTTTGGTACAAGAGATGGAATATAAGGGAAAAAAAGCAAAGGTGACCAACAAGGAAGATGCCGAGGCATGTGAAAGATAATTGAAACAAGTTCCCTCGCTAAGAATCTTAATAAATCCCACTGGATCTTCCACTTTGCAGTTTTAGGTGACAAATTCTTCACAGTTCAATATTAAGGAAGTATCCAGTAGAGTCCCAGGTAAAGTGATAGTGGGGGAGGTCTATGTGTACCTTCCACAATACTGCACAATCCCCTGCAAACTGCAGGGATTATGAAGGGTCTCGTCAGGGGGTTAGAGGGAAAGGGAGCGAGGAATAGAACTTATGCGACCCCAGTTCAATCAAGAAAAGTACTAACAGAGGCCCTCTGAAAGAGGGAGGAGGTTAAGTGGGGATAGAGAATGTGGTTTGGTGAATGTCCAACTTACTTCTTCCTCGTCGGCGTTCACATCTACCCATTTCCTCTTCTTCTCATCCCACTGGATCTAATCACGCAGTGGAAAGAAGAAGACATGGCTGAATTTGGGTCACTTTGATCTTCTCAAGAATGCATATTTGTAGCAAGCTCTGCTTCAGAGGATTCTTCCAACACTTCTTGCAATTTAACCCTAACCCCCCAGGCTCTTGCATACTGGACCTCATCAAATCCAACAGATACAGTACATGTATTTGTCTAGATGTATGTACATGTACTTGTACAAGCAGGTCACTGTACCAAACTTGATCAAATCCAACAAAATGACTCTGTTGGAGCTTGAGTGATACAGTGTGGATGGGTCTATGCAGAATAGGACGACTTGCACTGCAACAGTAGGCCTACCAAACCTGACAAACCAAGCATAGTCCAACAGTTGGTACAGCAAGCCAGACGCAATACACAATGACCCTGGACCATTGATACCAGGTACAACGAATTCAACAAGAAGTTCATCAGGTACAGTACCAATCCTGCCAAAACCTCACAAAACCTGCTTTTGCAGTATGGCAGGTTTGGGGTAGTTAGGGTTAAAGCCTGTAAGATTGTAAAAATCCATTAATGTTCATGGAGATCTTCCTATGATTCAACCAATCAAGAACAGATTTGAAGTTTTAGTACAGTGTTTCCAATGCACTGGCTCTGTATATGCTGGTTGTCAATTTATTTTGCTGCTTTTTGGGTGTCAATTCAGCGCAACTCACAAGTGTTAGCAAGTACAGTGACAGCGTGCACAATTCTAATTAAGCGAATTACATCTTGTTTTTATCTTCAAATTTTTTCTACGTTGTGTTCTCCACACAAAGCCCGGGACTATGCTAAGCTGCAGAATATCACTTACAGACTTGCTGCTATCATCAGGGAGGTGCACCTGGTTGCTCCGCCCAACCACTTTGCTGAAGAACCCGCCGAACCATCCCCGGCCTCCACCCTGACAACAAACCACACCGGGCAGAGATTACATACATGAACACAAGCATTTAAAAAGTCTTAACAGCCTCTAGTTGCTTCAGATGCTGCTATCTGTTGGGTTAACTCACACATGTATATTTTCAGTGTGCATAATTGGAAGATACCATTACTTACGGTGCGTTATGGAATTGTGTTGCCATATTTAAGAGGCACAGCCACTAGAACCCCTTGAACACAAGAACATCAGCCTTAATTCAAGTGACAAGCTATTTAAATAAACTGCAACAAAGGCATTCCTTTGTCACTGTGTGCCTCTTAATTTTTGACTGGTCTTGTGACTGGTCTTGTGTCAGGTCTTGTCTCAAAGAAAGTACTGAAAAGAGGTCATACAGTCTGGAATCCCGGTAAGTGACATTTTGACCATCTTTCTGTTGCCATGAAACTCTACTGACAGGCATCTCCGCTGACTGAATTTGGTCTTCAGCGATGATTGAAAGTTCATCCAAGTTAGGGGCAAGGAACACAAAAACAGTCTTCACCTGTTTCGCTTTGGGCTTCTCCTTTGGCTTTTCCTTGGCCTCAAGCTTTGGCTCTGCAACTGTCGCTGTCTTCTCCTCCCTCTGGGGAGGTTTGGTAGAGTCCGTGGAATAGGTGCGGACCCTTCCACCCGGTGTCGCTGGGGGAGTCAAGGTGTCAGCTGGCGAGGGTGGATTGCCAGCCTGCGTTGAACTGTACTGAGTCTGACTGAATGAGCCCTGTGTGTTGAGAGAAATTTGGACTTCATGCGGCACATCTCAATCAAAGGGAAAGCGGGTAAGTGATTGTGACTGATAACCAATTTGCAATTGCCATGAGTAATTATACATGTGCATCATTTGCCTGTCAGTTATAGTCGACGAGGCATGTATTTTATTTAGACTGCTCTTGGAGCAAATAATGGCCAAGCAGTATGGCATGATTGATCAGATCAGTAAAAAGACCAGATGGTTATTACATATAACATATATTATTACAATAACCTAAGGAGAACAGCTGATGCTCTCTCAACAGTTTGTCTCATCCACTAATGCGCAACTAAGTCTAAACTTAATACCATAATTTTCGGAATATGTAAGCCATCCGGTGTATAAGCCGCAGAACGGAAAAATCGGCAAATTAAGATTTACAGTCGGCATATAAGCCACACCGATGCATAAGCCGCACCGCAGTGCTGACGACCTAACCACGAAGGTGCTGCATGCTGAAACATGTGAAGCGCCAATACAGCATGTACAGTAAGTCACTGGTTCTACTGCACGTGCAATCCTAATAAAAGTAAGCAAAATGCGAACGAGTGTCACCATAAAAAGTGAATTTTAAGTCCTCATATTTAATATGTTTTGTGGGCTGGATGGTGGTCCTGTGTGAGCCGTGCATCAGCTCTTGCCTTTTTTCCAGCGACCGGCAAAATTTATGCGCTTGGGAAGGTACAATAAAATCTTAGTAACTTGAAGTCAGTTAAGTGGAAAGATCATTTTATCTTGTAGGTCGACTATTTCTTGCAAAAGGAATAGGCATTTATAAAAAAAATAACTCGAGGCTCTGTAACTGTCCACAAAACTACATCCGGTTATCTCAAGGTTTTTGTGACACCGATAAAAACAAAACCACCAAACTGCTTCAAAAATGGAAAATCTGCTGCGAGTCCTCGAATCGACTCATCACATGACGGTAATCAACTAAAGCTTCAATTTTTTTTTCAGTCAACGACGCAGGGTGATTGGGTAATGTATCAATTTGATGCAATCACAGAGTTTCGATGCAGAAACCTTTGATACGGGAATTTAATCTGGTCTGTGTAAATTTTTTCTGATATTCGCCTGCGAAGGGCGCACCTATAGCCAGTTAACGTCAGATTTTCTCACCTGAAAAGCTGCCGGGGACAGTTCTTTTTCCCGCAAATTCTTCAACTTTGCAATTTATGTCTGACGCCCATAGAATATGTAGGGAGGCACAGCTCTTGAGTAATAGGCATCAGTATTTTCATTCTTCTCCCTGTTTTTTTCAACTGCCAAGTAAAAATTGTAGCGCATGTCCGCATATCTGCCAGTTCAAATACAAAAGGTCCATAGCGTACACATGTACAGGTGTCACCTGAGGGCATGTGTGTTTCTGCCAATTGTTTCAATACGCAGGAGTTGCTAATTGTAACCTTGTCTCTTGTAAGTGTGGTTCCACTCCCTAGCAAATCAGCTTACCCAAAGGAGGTCTTTCATCCCCAGTTCTTTTGTGTATGTGTACATGTATGGTATGGGCTCCCCAATTCATTTCTAATTACTAAAGAAAGGCATGTCCGTTTTATTGTTGGTTAGGGCTGAGGCCACTTAGTAACATAGTCCAAGTGTAGGATTGTCTTCCGCACTTTGACCCAACCAAGCACAATGCGTTAATACATTAACCACTGAAATGAAAAAGAGTACTTCAAATGAGTGTTCATGTTCTCCGAGGAACAAATAAGGAAAATTTTGTGTTAATATGTCATCCAGCATCAAGTGAGTACGGCATACAGTCACTAACACAAAAACCTATGAACGCAGCAAATTTTATGCCTTGAACACGTACCTGCCCTACAGTAATTACTTTCAATGTCATCAATTGACACATGACACACAGACATCTCAACACAATCGTTACTCCTATTTTTATTTAAAACCTATTAATGGCTACAATCATATTTCTTTAGAGACCACACTTTAACCCTAACTGCCCAAGGGTTGCTGGCCCTAACCTTCCCCATTCACACAAAGCCAAACACCCATATGGGACTTTGTGCACAGAGACTGTTAGACTTTGTTTTTCTGAGGTATGCCAAACCCAATGCAAAAGCCAGCTGTTATGGGCCTACCAGACCTATCCCCACAGAATTAAACACTTTACTACTGTTTAATTCTGTGTGGTTGGGGAAGGTTAGGGTTAAAGCTGTGTGTCACGTGACCAGTGGTGACACCAACACCACAAAACCCAATACGGGCACCTCCAAGAGTCTACAACACATTGGCAAATCACAACACGTGAAATTTGTCAACCCTTTCTGAACACGTCATCTGTAACATTTCAATGTCTGAATGTACATTTTGACCTAAACTGGATGAGCAATTGCAGCAGCAAGAGTGTCATGAAGAAAATAACAAATATTGAAAAGTTCAAACTAAATCACATGATGACTGCATTATGCCGTTATTACGCGTTATAGGGTTCTGAGAACTTTTACACTAATACCAACTAAGCAATTTTTGGTGGTGATCAAATAATGTTTAGTATGCAAACCAAAGAAGTGCATTTTTGATGAAATCAGATGACATCACAGAACTTTCCAAATCCCATGCACATACGTGTACTATGACAGATCTTAGCTTAAAAAAGTGAATTTGAAAATGTCTCATTCTACAGATATTGAAAAGAACAACCAAACACAAAAAAGCTTTTCATAAAGTTCTTAAAACAAATGGCGGTGGCATCATTATGAAGGCAGAGTAACATACATGTACATGTATGCACATCCTAGAATCCGGACCGATGTTTGCACTCAGTTTCAAGTTGATATCACTGGACCATTATGAAGTAAACCCTTGAAAAATGACTCAGAAAAAAAAAAGAAACTACACAAAGCCTGTGAAGTAGCGAAGCCTGATCAATAAGTATCACATACAGACAGTCCGACTTATAATACATACGCACATGTACAATGTACATTAACAAGGCACTGACAGTGGACCGAAAACAAACACTATGAGGTCAGTGTATATGCAGTGTGCCGGTTGGTGCTCATTTATTACATCGATTTTTTTTTTTATTCAAGATGCCATCCGTGCTACCGGTACATGTAGCAATTTCCGCACTCGCTATTTTCTGCACTATCACCACTATGGAGATACAACTGCCAAGAATTGAAGGATAAACAAAGATTTGCAAAATGCTTTGCAAAATGTTTTGAGAATGCACAAATTACTATCTCAAAAACACTGAATAAGATCCTAAACACAACTTTCATAGCACGTGGGTGTGGCTTGATGTTTTGCTTGCTGAGAAACTGGTGTGTACCCCATATTTCTCTTGACATCTGGTACTGGCTGGTTCTCAGAAGTCTTTAACCTACAGCAAAGTACAGATATTACCTCCTGCTGGAACTTGTCATACTTGAGCGCATAAAGGATGGGGTTGACCGCGGAGTTAGCAACCAGCAAGATCATTGCAAATTGAAAGAGTACCAGGATTGACTGATTCTCTGGCTCCTGGTACATGAACAGTAACACAATGTACATGACCTTCTGAGGCATAATGAGGGCAAGAAATGCAAGGATGACCAGCAGCAGCGCATGGATCAGCTTCTGCCTGGCTCGCTGCAGTTCGTTGGGATGCTGCATTCCAAGATTCTGCCTTCTACGGGCGCTCTGCTTGAGATTCCTCAAAATCTGAATGTACATCCAGATCATTGCTGCAGCTGGAACAGCAAACAGCAGCAGGGCATTCATGAGAATGAAAATGAACCCTAGAGGGTGTGGATCACATCCAGGTAAGAAATGCTCGCCACAGTTTTGTTTTAGCACACCTAACCAAATTGTTCCTGAAATTTCTATAAATGCAGGCACAACCCAAACAAACAGGATAAGAAAGGAGACCTTTCTCCTTGTAAAGAAACTGCAGTGATGCAGTGGCCGAACGATACCTATGAATCGTTCAAAGGTGACCAGTAACAGAGATAGTGCCGACTGCCCAGTCGAAGATCTCTCCATATAATTCACCACTATATAAAGCACTTCAACCTCCTGTGTGCGATTGTCATATTCCGTTATGACATATGCATGTACAATACCAGTGATACACACCAGACTGTCAGCTATTGCAAGACTGAGGAGAAAATAGTGGGTGAGGGTGTGCAAAGCTTTGCTCTTGAGGATTGTCAGACTAACAAGGAGATTTCCAATCACTCCCACAATGCCAATAGAAATATCAATACCAATCAGGAGTGAGCTGGCCTTGGAGTCGGGCATCCCTGTGGCTGGTGCTGATGTTGGCTGTAGATCCATAGCTGTTTCAAAATAATGTCACAATGCTTGAGTCCATCAACACATAGAATACTCATGCAACCGCTACTAACATTGCTCACTTGTAGACCAAACTCTCCCAATACATCTAATGCAAATCAAGCCAAAAGCAAGGATGACGTTAATAGTCCATCAGCAAATCCGTGTTAGTTTGGCTCAACCGCAAGAGAATGAATGCTCAACGCATCCACAGCAGTGTTGACTGTACATTTGTAGCTATTCTTTTCCTGAGTCTTCAGAACTCTGCTTGCTACCTTTGATAAATTCAGAGAGGCATGCACTGATGTTAGTAGAGTTACAGGCTATGTTGGCTGTTCGTTCTTTGTGGGTGAAACAGACAGCTCGTACCCTTCCCGCATGTATACTAGGGCTGAGCAATGGCAAGCTATATATCATGATTGATCAGTATATTAATGAGACCAGGACCTCATTACAATGTTGAACAATGACAGTGCGGGGGACAGTTAATAATCTCTTGACAGTCTCTGACGACAGATTTGGGGAGCTCAAAAGTCAAGTCAAAACTTACTCATCAGATATTGGACAGCAGATATCGGGTGCTTGATGTATTACTGATTTGTGATACGATTTTTTTCTTTCATTTTTTTCTTTTCGTTGCGCTGTTCCTTTGCCATGTGATTTAACCGAGTATAACGGTGCGGGAAATTCCAATAAGCCCCTTACGAGTGAACTTTGACCCACATCTGGTGCACTGAGTTCTTTAAATTCAAGTGAACATAACTTGAATTCTCCATACTAAAACCACTGTAGCTATACCTCGTACATGTAATTCGGGGCAAGCTTTTGCTCAGTTACAATACACTGTTCTCAATGGATAAGAAGGGCACAGAGGAACCAGTCCACTCCAGAGATGGTGGTCGCTATGCAAAAGCTTGCCCTGAATCACGAGGTATTGCAACAGTGTCTTTAGTCTGGGGAATTCAAATCGTTATGTTTACGTGCAGTCAGATAACTCAGTGCACCAGATGTTATTCAAATTCAACTCGCAAATGGTTTATTCAAGTTAGTCTTCGTTTAACGTCATCAGAAGCTGAAGACTGTAAGTTCACTTGCGTTTTCATCATGTTTAAATAACGTTTGATTAAAAGTTACTGTGTTTTTATTTATACTTTTCTTACGTGACTTGGGAAACTTATTGCAATATTCTTGTGTGTATTTGCTCATAATTTGAGTCGATATTTGGAAGTTGTACTTGAATCGTCGCATTTTGTTTGGGCGTATGCGCCTACACAGAATTGCATGTGTGCTTGTAGATGCATTTACCAGTTATGATATGTCATTTGTAACGTTCATTTTCTTATAGTTGCTTTAAAAAACGATGATTAAAATGACTTGTGTTTCAGTAAAACTAGGCACCCTGACTGAAAAGAGACTGCTAAAAAGATCATTTGTGCTACCTAAAAAATTTTCAAATTTAACTATAGAGCAAACAGCTAATATTGTCATTACACAAATACAGTTTACATGTACATGTAAGTCCAAGGAATGAAGTTGTAATTGCTGACCTGGAACAGCACTAGTAAATTTATGATGGTGAAACAATGACTACACCTAGATATTCAAATGACAAACTTTCGGACAACTTTCAAAGCAGCATTGTTTGCAGAATAGGATCTCTATGTCCGACATACACCACAATGTAGAGAATAAACTCTTCAACGAAAAACTGAATACCCCCACATGAAAAGAAAAGTCTTAATTGAAAGGCGCATACATCCACAGTCTCACAGACTGTCAAGGACACCTTTCAGTAATGTAAAGCACTGCATTAGCCATCTTAGCACTGCAATCCTAGTACCCCATGTTCTAGTGCTTCCGTCAATAGGAATAAACTCCCTGGCCAGGCACATTTTTCACTTGATAGTTTTTCTTTGGAACAGATCAAGGAATAAACAATCACGTACAAGCCCAATGTCAAGGGAGTAATTTCTTCAACCTTAATGAACAATTAAAACGTCTGAACTTGACACAACTCTATGTACTTCACCAACTGAACCATAAACTCTGTTACAAACTACTTTGAAAAGGCACAAATTACTGTCTAAAAACACTGAATAAGATCCTAAACACAACTTTCATAGCACATGGGTGTGGCTTGATGTTTTGCTTGCTGAGAAACTGGTGTGTCTCCCGTATATCTCTTGACATCTGGTACTGGTTGGTTCTCAGAAGTCTTTAACCTACAGCAAAGTGCAGATATTACCTCCTGCTGGAACTTGTCATACTTGAGTGCATAAAGGATGGGGTTGACCGCAGAGTTAGCAACCAGCAAGATCATTGCAAATTGAAAGAGTACCAGGATTGACTGATTCTCTGGCTCCTGGTACATGAACAGTAACACAATGTACATGACGTTCTGTGGCATAATGAGGGCAAGAAATGCAAGGATGACCAGCAGCAGCGCATGGATCAGCTTCTGCCTGGCTCGCTGCAGTTCGTTGGGATGCTGCATTCCAAGATTCTGCCTTCTACGGGCGCTCTGCTTGAGATTCCTCAAAATCTGAATGTACATCCAGATCATTGCTGCAGCTGGCACAACAAACAGCAGCAGGACATTCATGACTATGAAAATAAACCCTAGAGGGTATGGATCACATCCAGGTAAGAAATGCTCGCCACAGTTTTGTTTTAGCACACCAAACCAAATTGTTCCTGAAATTTCTATAAAGGCAGGCACAATCCAAACAAACAGGATAAGAAGGGTGACCTTTCTCCTTGTAAAGAAACTGCAGTGATGCAGTGGTTGAACGATACCTATGAATCGTTCAAAGGTAACCAACAGCAGAGATAGTGCCGACTGCCCAGTCAAAGATCTTTCCATATAATTAACCACTGTATAAAGCACTTCAACCTCCTGTGTGCGATTGTCATATTCCGTTATGACATATGCATGTACAATACCAGTGATGCACACCAGACTGTCGGCTATTGCAAGACTGAGGAGAAAATAGTGGGTGAGGGTGTGCAAAGCTTTGCTCTTGAGGATTGTCAGACCAACAAGGAGATTTCCAATCACTCCCACAATGCCAATAGAAATATCAATACCAATCAGGAGTGAGCTGGCCTTGAAGGAGCCAGGAATCCCTGTAGATGGCACTGATGTCTGTAGATCCATAGCTGTTTCAAAATAATGTCACAATGCTTGAGTCCGTCAACACATAGAATACTCATGCAACCGCTATTAACATTGCTCACTTGTAGACCAAACTCTCCCAATACATCTAATGCGGCTCAAGCCAAAAGCAAGGATGACATTAATAGTCCATCAGCAAATCCCTGTTGGTTTGGCTCAACCGCAAGAGAATGATTGCTCAAAGCACCCATAGCGGTGTTGACTGTAGCTAATCTTTTCCCAAGTCTTCAAGACTCTGATTGACACCTTTGATAGATTCACCGAGGCATGCACTGACGTTAGTTGAGTTACAGGCTACGTTGGTTCTTTGTGGATGAAAGAAATAGCTATTATCCTTCCTACATGTATACTAGGGCTGAGCAATGGCAAGCTGTATATCATGATTGATCAGTACAGTATTAATGAGACCAGGGCCTCATTACGATGATGAACAATAACAAAGTGGAGCGGGGACAGTTAATAATCTCTTGACAGTCTCTGACAACAGACGTGGGGAGGGCTCATGTCTAAACTTAATCATCAGATATTGTACAGCAGAAAATCAGGTGCTTGATAAATTACTGAATCGTGATTACGATTTTATTTCTTTCAAAACTAAATTGTTTCTTATCAAACTGTAAGAATCAACACAATTGGCCTATTTTACAAGCTCTGCATTGGTTTTGGTTTCTAAGGTCCACACCTTGTCCACTACACAGAGTTTTCATTTAGGCACACTTTAAAAAAATGACTGCAATGACTTTGTGTTTCAGTAAAACTAGCTACCTTGACTAAAAACAGACAGCTAAACAGACTGCTAAAAAGACGGCTGAACAGATCATTTGTGCTACCTTGAAATATTTTCAATTACTATTAAGCTATAGAGCAAATAGCTTATTGTCCTTCCACAAATACAGTACATGTAAGTCCAAAGAATGTAGTTGCTGACCTGGAATAGCACTAAATGACGGCAAACATTGACTACACCCGGATATTTAAATGTCCAAATTTCTTACATCTTTCAAAGCAGCATTGTTTTCAGAATAAAATCTCTACCTCCGAAATGCACTGTGATGAAGGTGATAAACTCTTGTACAAAAAACTAAATCCCCCTGACATGAAAAGAAAAGAGATTGAATTAAAATGCATATACATCAACAGTCTCACAGATTATCAAGGACAAAATCCATTACTGTGAAGCGTTCCATTAGCAGTGGCAATTGCAGTGGCAATGCTATCATCCCATGTTCAAGTGTTTCTATCAACAGGAATACAAGCCCTGCCAAGCTATCCTTCACTTGACAGTTTTCCTTTGGTACAGATCAGGAGAATAAACAATCACATACAAATCCAGGGTTCTCCCCAGGATTTCTCAAATCTGTGAGGGATTTCCATTGTGGTTTACCAACATTTTGTGAAGCCATGGCGTTGGATTTGGCGCCCGCCCAAGGGCCCGAAGATTTTTGGACTTTAGATGCTCTCAGCTGCATTTTAGAGCATTTCCTGGGCTTTACAAGTACCTTTTCTCGGGAAAAAACACAAGAGACTCAATGTATTTGTTCTTAAATTTTGGATATCAATATTTTAACAAATGACCAGTTTTCCTTTCCTTTTGTTCTACAATCCGGTATCGGCGGCTTCCCTTCCTTCGCCGGCACCTCCGTGAACGTGCTGCAGGTGGCTGCTTTGTTTGCCTTTGGGTTTCCCTCAGCATGGACTGCTGATGTTATTGGCTTAAGAAAAGAGTCTATCTTTGAGTTCCTGCCACTGTGCGTGAGACAAAACATGGTGATATGGCAACGAGAAATATCATCCCCGTCGTAGAACGATGCCATTAATACTTTTATACATGGCTACGGCTGCCGCCATGAAAAAAAAAGGTGCGTGGGTTCGATGTTGTAAGTTCTGCGAATGGTGTAGTATAAAATTTTAACCTTCGTAAATGCAGCCCCGCTAGCGTATTGAGCACACGGCACAGGGAAAACACACATGCGCGTGGGTGAATGTACGCCGCCCATGACGGAAGTTCAGATTTCAAGCGACACCGGCCAAGAGGAACGTTCAGTGCCAATGTATATGTATGGTGTGCAGTGTAGCCGCCGATGCGTGGTGCACAATGCATGCTACCTTTAGTAAGTACATGTACACGGAAAAATGCAGGACTATTTACTGCTTTTTCGTCTAGAATTTCCAGACATGCGAGCTGCATTATGTAAAATAATTCTCAGCCATACTATCATAATAATAATGTGCATATCGAAGATGAAAAAATAGATGTCGGCCCATTTTGGGGGATCGGACAGAAATAATTGCGTATTGGGCCTGATAGGCAAGTTTGTACGTGGGGAGAACCCTGAAATCCCATCAACAATTAAAACCTCTCCAGGTGACACAATTCCTGGAGAAATTGGCAGATTAGATCATGTACTACACCAATTGAACCACAAACTCTGTTACAAACTACTTTGAAAACCCTCAAATTACCGTCTCAAAAACACTGAATAAGACCCTAAACACAACTTTCATAGTACGTGGGTGTGGCTTGATGTTTTGCTTGCTGAGAGACTGGCATGTGTCCCATGTTTCTCTTGACATCTGGTACTGGTTGGTTCCCAGAAGTCTTTAACCAACAGCAGAGTACAGATATTATCTCCCGCTGGAACTTGTCATACTTGAGTGCATATAAGATGGGGTTAACCGTGGAGTTAACCAGCAGCAAGATCACTGTAACTTGAAGATATATTATGAAGGACGTTTCTATGTCCCTGTATAATGCCATTGCTAAAATGTACAAGACCTTCTGTGGCATAATGAGGGCAAGAAATGCAAGGATGACCAGCAGCAGGGCATGGGTCAGCTTCTGCCTGGCTCGCTGCAGTTCATTGGGACCCTGGATTCCAAGATTCTTCCTTCTACGGGCACTTGCCTTGAGGTTCCTCAAAATCTGAACGTACATCCAGATCATTGCCGCAGCTGGCACAACAAACAGCAGCAGGGCATTCATGACCGGGAAAACCATTCCATGGATATATGAATCACATCCATGTGGGTGATTCTCTGCACAGTTTTGCTTTTGCACAACATACATGTACCAAACCATTACCCACATTTCTATAAATGCAGGCACAATCCAAACAAACAGGATAAGAAGGGTGACCTTTCTCCTGGTAAAGAAGTTACAGTGATGCAGTGGTCGAACGATACCTATGAATCGTTCAAAAGTGACCAGCAGCAGAGATAGTGCTGACTGTCCAGTCGAAGATCTCTCCATAAAAAAAAGCACTAAATAAAGCACTTCCCCCTCCTGTGTGGGATTGTTATATTCAGTTATGACATACGCATGTACAATACCAGTGACACACACCAAGCTATCAGCTACTGCAAGACTGAGGAGAAAATAGTGGGTGAGGCTGTGCAAAGCTTTGCTCTTGAGGATTGTCAGACTAACAAGGAGATTTCCAATCACTCCCACAATGCCAATAGAAATATCAATACCAATCAGGAGTGAGCTGGCCTTGAAGGAGCCAGGCATCCCTGTGGATAGCGCTGATGTCTGTAGATCCATAGCTGTTTCAAAATAATGCCACAATATTTTCAGTCTGTCAGCACAAAGAATACTCATGCAACTGCTATTAACATTGCTCACTTGTTGACCAAACTCTCCCAATACATCTAATGCAGCTCAAGCCAAAAGCAAGGATGACGTTAATAGTCCATCAGCAAATCTGTGTTGGTTTGGCTGAACCGCAAGTGAATGATTGCTCAAAACATCCACTGCTGTGTTGA